ATATTCATGAGAGTAACAAGATATGTATATATATATGGACAAAAAAAACAAGTTTTAACTTGACATATCTTTTGTTTTTGGATAAATGCATTTGCAGCTGCATGAATAAACTGTACGAATGTAGATCTTTTTTTTAATTCTCTGTTTTGTTTTGTGAATTTTGCCGTGAAATGATATACTCCAATCATTGTGCATTTTACAAAGGTTCCTCCCCCTCATCATCTCTTCAAAGAGAATGAAAGAGAGAGACAGAGAGAGAAATGAAGGCAATCAAAAGAAAAGACAACCTGAGGAAAGAGTAAAATCACTGACATAATTACCCAGATTAGGCTCGAAAGAGTAATTGCAAGATAAACCCTCACGGATGTCATCTCTATGTGCTCTTTGTGGCTTAATCAGAGACACTACAGTATCAAATCAATATATGCTAAAAGCTTTCGGCGGTAAAACGGGAAAGTAAAACAGAACTGCAGTGCACTACTGAGGGAACCTGCAGTTTGTGTTATAAAGTTTTACACTAATCACGCAGGCCTCCACTACGGTCAAGGCTGGGAGAAATATTGTATTGCTGAAGATGGGGGGGAAAAATCCCCAGAATGTGAGTAAACTCAGTTGTGATTATACCCGAGTGTTGTTAAGGGACCCATAGCCGTAACATTCAGTTTACTCTCATGTGATTTAAGGGCCGTGGCTGTGGGGTCCACTTTGGCTCCCTAAGGCCCCCAGGCCAGCATATATGACCTTCACACTACCTGAATCAATAGCAATTAACTCAAGCACTATAGCCAGCGGTGCTTAGGAGAGAACCAAAGTTCCCAGTACAACTTGGCCTGTTTGCAAACACAAAAACACCTTAAAACATGGAGTGTAGACACATATAAATGATATTAACAAACCGCATGGCAAACCATGCATACAAACAAAATATCTAAGCCAATTATCAACATATCAGCTCTTCCCACAATCATGCGATCTCGTTATTTAATTTAGCATTACTGAAGCATGACCTGTCAAGGTACTTTTGTAATGATCGGGGCGTTCGCACGGAAATGAGGTTATGCATTTATTAACAAAACAAAATAATTTTGAAAATTAATGACTGATGGAATTAATGTGCAAAACGAAATCTCAGCACTAAATTGGCAAGGCACATCAGACGATGCGGTAAAATGAGTTCAATTACCGCATGAAAACAAGTTTGACCTGTTTACAGTATTATTTGTTCTACTGTGAGCTATAACAGTATTGCAGTTTTCAAGGAAAATGTGTCTGAAAAAGACTCATCATTCAGATATAACAGATTTAATAAAAATGTTGAAAATCTGTGACCTTGAAATTTCTATTATGCAATAACCATTTCATAAAAGCAATTGCCACTGTGCTTTATTGTGAATATAGTCAATGTTATAGTCAATGCTAGAGTAACATATGAAAAAAATACAATATTGAAATATCTAAAAATGTTTAATTAAAATTGTGCCTCTATAATGAATCCAGCACTGTATTCATCTCTTTAACCACTCAGAATGTCGTTTTCTGAGCTCATATGTAGTTAGGGTGTTTGTAATTTTAACCGTAAGATAAGAGATGAACTTGAGAGATCGTAGCTGCATTCTGTATAATAGATTTAATAAATGTTAAGGAAGCAGAATTAAATTAATTCAGACTCTCCAGCTTGCGTTGTTTTATATTCCAGCAAGCTATTCAGTGAGGGAAGTTTTCTTTGTTTAGAATATAATTCATGCCAATCAAAAAATGACAGAGAAAAAGACACATTTATATTCACATTCATTTGTAGACAAGTTTGTAGGCTTTTGTATAATATAAAATGATGTGACATAACATGTTTAGATGTTAAAGCGGAGTAATCGAAAATGAACAAACAACATCTGGAAGTATATTTTACATAAAACAATTTAATACATAGAATAATAGATCGATCCATCTATCCATCTATATTATTTGTATCATTATTATTATTATTGGTAGTAGTAGTAGTATTACTAACTTCTCATCTGCATTTAACTTGCTTTACATTTGTTTATTAGACATTTTTCCCAAAGCAACACATTAATCATGAGCAATTTATCATAAAGCTGTCAACAATATTAGCTTTACTGGAAAGTAGTACAAAGAAGAATAGAAGCAAGCTTAAGAAAATAAAACCCATTCAATTCCCTTCATTAAACTATTTGAATTTCTAAAGTGAATTAACTGCAGCACTTCCAGACTATACATTTCAGTCCAGGGCAATGTCAAATTTCCTCAATCTGGAAACAAGAGGTGTTTGTCAGGGTTGAAATGCTGAGTTTGCATTAGAGAAAATCTGAAGTGTATGTGTACCGACAGGAGTACAGCGTGGTGTGTGACAGCAGCCAGTTGTCTGGCCCGAGCAGCAGCTACAGGCTTCTATGAAGCAGATAATAGATCTGGACAAATATAAGGTAGTCCGGTGTGCACTCTTAGCAGACTAGCAGAGTGAGGGTTTAAGGCTATTACACACACACACACAAACACACACACACACACGCACGCACGCACGCACGCACGCACGCACGCACACACACACACAACATCTAGCAAAGCATGCATTTCTCACAGCGCATATCTTGTGCAATGAAGCCTGCGAATGTCCTTGAAATTCACTTCAAACTTTCCAAACTTTATGAAAGCTTATTTTATGGATGGTTTGAGCGGTGTTGTGTGTGAGGAATTGGAATCAAGTAGAATACGGGTGTTTCTAAAGCACAAGCATCATCGCCGATCTGCGGTTAAAAACTCACCCAGAACTATTAGACATTTGACTACTGGTCTCAGATGGTGCACCCGATGATCCAAAGTCTGTTTACAGACTGTGATGCATATCGAACAGTAAAATGTGAAAAGCTGGCTGAAACGACTAGTCTTAACATAACTGACTGGCTTGCTCAATGAGTCAGGGTGCACAGATTTGACCAGTCCACCAGGAATTTCTTCTGCGTTTTCTATGTGGATGCTTCTATGTAGATCCTCTTAGCTAGCATCTTAGCTAGCATCCCTAATAATTATCTAATTAAGTGTGTAATTAATAAAATTAAGTGCTCTTTAAAATTTTAGGGCTGTCTAGTCATTTCAGTGTTGTTTGGTTATTAGTTCAGACATGAGCCATGCAAATGAGCATTCCAGGTGCACAGATTTCATTGCTATCAATCACAACAAAGAGTTTGTGTATGTGTATGTGTGTGGGTGACTGACACGTAGAAAGCTGAAATATTTTGCCTTGTGGCAAAAGTGTAGTCGAATGACAATGTTTAGAAGCATCTCTACTCAAAATGAGAATAGTTTGATGCCCTTGCAGATGATTATGACTGACATTTATGGCAAATGAATGTGCAGGAGGTTGATGTACAGTCTGTATTCTCTGTCAATGGAGTGTTAAACTGTTGTATGACTTTTACATTTGTCTAAAACATTGCACAAAGACAGAAGATGATAGCATTCCATGTGCTCTAACAACACACAAACAAAACAATTAATGTCAATGTTAATGTCTGCCCCTTATAATCGAGACATATTTTTGTTCTTTAGAGCATTTTCATTCTCAGAAACATGAGCCTAAAATCAAAAATTTGAATGCCCTGGATGTTTTTGTGAATCCATCCCATAAGCTACATAATATATATTTTTTAAAAGCAGCAAATCAGAAATCGGAGTAATGATCACCAATAATCTTCATCCGTGACCTAATCTTTACCTTAATTCTGACCTTACCCCAATAATAATAATAATTATTATTATTTCTTATTTCTAATCTATTTGCATTTAACTTGCTTTAGATTTGTTTATCGAACATTTTTAAAAGCAACAAAAGATGCAAATCAACAAATAATGCAAATCACAAGCAATGTATCACAACGGTGTCAACAATATAGCTTTACTGCAAAGTTGTACAAAGTAGTATAGAAGCTAGTTTAAGAAAAAAAATACATAAATACATAAGCGAGCAAGCAACATATATAATACTGTTGTTATCAAATAGTATTGGTGATTTGATACATGTTATAGAATTGTTTTCTTGACAAACAGTGATGCATATTTCGGTCTGTATTCATTGAAGTAAATAGGGAGATGTAGATACGTCATGTTTACAGTAGTCTATGGATGTAGACCAAGATGGCAGGATGAAGAAACTTGACTTAAAGGGACTTGGCAGTACTTGGTTCAAATAATTTGAGAACTACTGCTCTACTGCTTTTAAACCACAAATGTGATTATCAAAATACATTATATAGACCAAGATTAAAATAAAAAGATAACAATGGTTTCTCGTAATATCAACGAAATGAATGCGGCGTAATTCAGCCCATAAGAGAAACCAGCTCTCATGCCGACATAATAATCAATTTGCTATGCTCAGTGTTCACAGACATGCTGGAAGTCCCTCTATTACCCGGTTACCTGGAACCCCTGCGTACCGGCCCATATGGAGTCATTCTAACATGCAGTCACAACAGACTCAAGCTAAAGATTCACAACCACTCAAAAACCCATTCATTTCCTCTACCAAAACATTTGTCTCAACATTGTTACATTTCACTTAATTTTTCATGCAAATAGTAATCTCTTTGCCTATGAAATCTGAAGATCTGTATGTGGGGTTGGACTTTTTCCAAGTTATGACATCATCACAGGCACGACTCCCCAAACGCCGGAGAACATCAGCTTCCATACAGCAACGTGCTGAGATATTAATGAGCTTATAGTTTAACTGATTATGTGAGAGCTAATCTGCTGTTTACAAACAGCAGCAGATGGGATTTTACAGGTGAGAAGCTAAACAAACTAGCGTGACGGTGATTGTAAATTGTCTTTTTTTAAATTATTCAAATGTTGCAATCGAAACTAAACCCGCCTCTCGTGTTTATTCTAAAATAAAACAAAAAATGTATTCTAGAAATCCAGCCCTGTTGACTTTATATGACCTAATGAAGGAAAAGTAAATGTAAAGGCAGATAACTCACCCCTCTCGCAGGAGCGGGACCAGTAACCGGTGCCTGTGCAGTCGCAGATAAAGCGATTCCATCCTTCTTTGCACACGCCTTTGTTCTTGCACGGATAGCTGTCGCACTGCTTGACTGGCATCTTGTTGCAGGAAGGTTTGATGCCTGCACCATTCTGGTCCTCAGCAATCTGTCTGATGTCCTTACTGCGACCGTCAATGAACAGGTCCCGAATGCATCCCACATAGCCGTAGTTTAGCATGGCGGTCCATAGTTCAGTGGGAAGGATTAGGCCTGCCCGGTTATCAGGGAGGCCGCCTAGGTACATGTCCCCCTCCAGGTCCAGGATCTCATTTTCTCCACTGGCAGTGAACGGAGTGCGACGGCTGTTAACAGATATGGTGCCTGGGAATAATCAAAAGTGAGACAAAGATTGTATGAGCAATCCTTCAAAAAGAACAATATTGTTATTGTTAGAGGTCCAAAATCGTTTTATGGGTCTTTTTTTGTGCAGTTTAGGTATGTGTTTAACCTCTAAAATGTCCCCAGAAGTAATTTTAATCTGACAAAACGTATGGTTAAGAAAGAGATAATGTACATATTGCCGGTTTTTATTGCAGAATAAACCCAGACAGGGTGATCAGGACCCCGACGCGAAGCGGAGGTCATACCACTCATACCATACAGTCATACCACTTTTTACATGGTATTTCACCACATAAATAATTATGGGGATAAGAGATATTGATTTGAGACGAAACCGTTTTAAAATCTTACCTGTTTGTTGTCTTAAATTCCATTACAGTGTACAAAACAATCATCACAAAATGGCAGCAGCTGCGTTTATATGAAACAAGAGAGAGCGAGTCCACGATACTGGATGGCATAATTAAATAACTGTACACAAAATATTGATTGGAGTTTTAATGTTTTATTAGCTCACCAAACACGAAACATCAATGAGGAAAGATTCCTAGCAAGCGTAAAGTGGCGACTTGTTACCCAGATAAGCCTGTGTTATCAGTTTTTACTGGTTGTTATCGAGGGATAACATACCGCTGGATGGCACAATTGACCAATCAGAATGAAGTATTCCACAAAACTCATTAAACTGGTGTCAGGGAGTGAGGCTGATTTGCATATTCATTGTTCCGGGTATACTAAATGAAACAAGGGTGTAGAGTTACGTTCAAGCTATTTTAAGGACTGAATAAATATAAAAAAAATCACAGGATTTTTTTTTTAAATGTTACATGTTAAAATACTTTCAAAGTACATACTTTTCCCCCCTTTTTTTATGTGGAGAGACTGTAAACTAAACAACTGTTAATTACTGTACTGCGTAATCTCAGACAGTCTGTCCCGTGTCCCCTGTGAACAAGAGACAAGGATAGGGATAGAATGACCATCCATAGACTACGAGATAGAGAGAGTGGGGGGCTATGAGAGGATTATTTCCTATTTATTACCTCATCGGGAATGTGTGAATCTTGTAAAGCGGTGTCTCTCATACAGACACGCAGATGTAAACAATGCATCCCATGTGGGAAACCAGGGATCAATGGGAATAATCTCTTCAGAACTGAACTGACACTGGTCCAGTCATCCACATGGCTCTGTCTAAAACCTCGCATTATTGATATCCTACAAGACCTCCCAAGGGCCCTGTGCTATGAAGTGATATGGAGTAGTCGTCGATCGATTCAGAAACAGAGTGCCAGCGATTCAAGGGCAAAGGAAGAAAGAAAGAGGTGAATGAGGATACAGAGAAAGATAGAGGGGATAAACCCTAATAGAAAGTTCTGTCAAAGTAGATGTGAAATGAAAATGTCAGCCTACTTTGGACTAAATGTGTCCATTATTGGTGACTAACCACTGCGCTTTTTGTTTAAAGCTGTTATCTTTGGGCTGCAGAGCTTAACGCCGATGGAAAACACACAAGCAATTACAGTATCCAACCGATTTAATAATGAAACAAAGTGGGAGTTCTTTATGAGCTTAAAGTTAAAAATTGGTTTTAAAAATAAGACACAAGTTATCACAATGTCTTTATTTCTAAGAGCATATTACCCACATTGAAAATGGAAATATAGGATATTTCTCTTTAATTTAACTTATAATGTAAATGTTAGTCATTTCTGTTGCAATTTGTATGTACAAGGCCATTTTCAACACTCTCTCTGACCTTTAGGCCTAACCTGTGAATATGGGTGCCAAATCGTTTTTAACTACTTTTGTGTGAAACATGCTTAGAATAAATTTTTTAATTAGGAATTAAATTTTGTAATCCTGTAATCTCTTTGCATGTGAAACAAGTCACTAAATAAATAATAATATTAAATAATACATGAATAAAACTAATGATTATTATTATTATTAACGTTATTATTAGTACTACTATTATTAAAATATTTCTATTTCTCATATATTTACATTGAATTGCTTTACTGAATTACTGAATTTATTTATCAGACATTTTTACCCTAAGCAACGAATGAGAAAAATCTCATTTTTCATAAAGGTGCCAATAATATTAACTTTACTACAATAGAGAGTAGTGTAGAAACAAACAAACAAATAAATGCATGTATGTATGTACTGGATTCAAATCATTTATTAAATGTGTTAAGCATGGTATAAATAACACTTAAGTATGTGTGTGTGTGTGTGTGTGTGTGTGTGTGTGTGTGTGTGTGTGTGTGCGTGTGTGTGTGTGTGTGTGTGTGTGTGTGTGAGTGTATTTGTCTGAGTATCCACACACTGACCTGATCTTCCATCTCGCTGGATGTCCACATGGTACCAGGCCCCGTCGTTCACCTTGTTCAGTGTGGCTTTTACTTTGATAGTCCCAGAGCCCATGTCCAGCAGCAGGTACAAACTTCCATCCAGAAGCTCCACTGCAAAAAAGTCCACTTTTGTATTCTTTTGGCTACGGGCATCCTTTCTTTCCTGCTGCTTCCCGTGGGTGAAGAGAATAAGGCCGTTTGGTTCAGTGGTACGGAAGTCGAAGGAGATGGAGCCCATGCGTTTGGTGTTCCACTTAGGTAAGCTGATATAAGCCTCGGGCGTCTCGAACGAGATGGGGTCCAGGGTGGCCACATTCTCGCACTTGAACACCACATCTCCCTGGATCTTCATTTTGGGGTCCACAATGCGGGCGAGCCGGGAGAGTTCCAGCCTGATGTCATTGTTTTTGTAAATAACCTGTGCGGATGTAAGCAAATAATCAGTGAATGATGATGATAATTATGTGATATCTTTATCTGGTTTTCAAAGATAATGAACATGAATATGCGATTTTCTTTTTCTTTTTTTAATTCTGGATGCTAAATAGAGACACCAGCAAAGGTGACTTTATTCAAATATGACCTGTGATAATACCAATAGGCCAGGCCACTGCATGCAAATGACTGTCTCTCAGTGGTAATTGACTCAGGCTGCGCTGGCACAGGCATGTGGGTCTGGTTTCCTTGATAACTATGGTAATGGGTTGACAAAGCCGCAATGGCACTTTCTGCCACAAAAGCTCTAAAAAAGTCCTGCCCCCTGCATGCTAGCCAAATCTCACATCGTGCTCTGGGTCCTAGTGCCTGTCAGTTGAAAGTAAGACATCAGTTATGTGCTTTTAGCATTTGCTTAGAGTTTTATATGTGGCAAAGGGCCATCTGGGATATTTTTTTGCGCCTTACTAATTTGGCACAGTCTGACTGTTAAACCAGCATAGAGCATATTAAACCTCCAAACACCGAAGAAATTCGCCGGGTGTGAAATTGCCCATTTAAGCTAATTTCTCCTAGAGAAGGAGATCTTTTTTGTGGGTACATTTTAGAACATCACACTGTTTGTGAGTGCAAGCGATCGTCACAAACGCTCAAGCCCTGATATTACAGTTAATCCTGCACGTTGCGGGGAGAAAATCAAACATCCTCTCAGGTGCAGGAAGGACAGAGTGGAATGGAAGGATTCTGTTCTGTTCCTGAAGAAAAGTAACTGCGAATTGAGGATTTCAACATGACTGAAAACTGCCAGACACTGATTAGGCAATGATTGCTGTTTTTTGTAACATTATCATTTCTATTTATCCTGTCTGGTGCATTTTTCATCACCTAAATCAAGTTTCATCTTGCAAATTGTCCACAACACCAGGGGCAGCCATAGTCTCTGACACAAATTGATACTCTGCAATTTGGTCCATTCTTTGGCATTGTCATTTTGATGCGTTCAGGCGGCCCATAAAATGTCAGCCAGTTAATTCAGCTGATGAGCCACTCATAGATGTGAAATATCCACACCCTTCCCAGAGTCTTGATTCTGTAACCTAGCTCGAAAATCACATTTAAGTTGTCTAAACCGTTAAACCTCTTCACTGAAATATTCTTTAATTGCATTAATTGACTTTTGGAGCATGGTGCAAACCCTAGAAGAAAAGCAAAAAAATGTCACTCATACAAAATAAGCATTTCAACTGAGAACAAATATTTGTTCCCCTGGGAGAACAGAAGGGTTACTAGAATAGAGTGTCCATAGAAATCTGACATTTGAATATAATGCCAGGGCTTTATCTAACAACACCTGGTATGTAGTTTGAAGGGAAGGCAAGCAGCTGTAACTGAGACTCCACCTATAGATAGACATGAGAAGACTCACACCAAGGATCTGTCTATCTCAGTTTTATGGATTCAGCCGCAAGGGAACGTAAGGATTGACTGGTTCCAGACACAGAAATAAATCCGTTTGAGTGTGTGGATGGACTAAAAATTTCATCAGGTTGTTATCTTGCCTTGCAGACTCAAAAATAAACTGGAAAAAAGAGAAATAAAAAAAAAAGGGATAGATTGAGCGATCTTTCTTACGCAAGTCCTTGCTGTAAATCTATTTACAACCAGAGAAGCAATATGTTCTTCCCAAAGCTTCTGATAAAAAAGTTTGATAAAAACCCATGGTATAATAAACATTAGTGAGAGTAGACATTATATTGGCAAAATTATATTGGCAGCATCGCACACTTTATGTCTAAGACAATTCTAGAATGCACTACACTAAGCTTAATGAAAAAAAAAAAAATGAAAAAAAAAAAAATCAAATTAGAATCAATTGGAGTCAATTGGAAATCAAATGCTGTCTACTCTTACTAACTATAAGGAGCGTGAGGTAAGTAAAGGGGCATCTGCTTGAGTTTGGAGCTAAGGTTATGTTGCAGTGCCCATGCTGTTGAGCTGAGAACTGGAAGAGCAGTTATGCACATTTTCAGGGTCCTCCTCGTGCCCGCGGCCTCCTCACTGCCTGTGCTGGGCCTGTAGTGACACCCGCATTCATCATCCACAGCTGTCTGCTTCTACTATAAATCTCTGTCTACAGTGCCTACCCACCACTCTCAAGGAATTAATAGCCCCCAGGTCAAACAAGGGAGAACATTTGGAAATCGGTATTGATTATTTACTAGTCAAGCATGCCAGGTGGCCCTTTGTGGATGTTTTGCATGGGAGCTTGGGGCAATGAGGTGCAGAAAGGTCTATGGCCTAGTTGGACATGGTCAGGCTAACAGGTCAAGACTCGCTCAGCCAGACATTTGACTATCGGCATAATAGCATCTGGTCTGGTTTGCAGCTTAGAATCATAATTCATAACCAACCACACTGTTAATTTCATTGACGAATAATTTGCCAATTTTCATCAACGCCATTATATCACTGACGAAAACGAGATGATAACCAAATAAAAACCCGTTTTGAATGACAAAAACTATCTATTGTCATTTTCATCAAAGAATATAAACAAGACAAAAATGTTAACCTAGGGAAAAATAAATATATTAAAATATATTTGAAAATCATTTATTTTATGCTATGTATACTACAAATACATTTACATATTTATGTACTGGATATAAATACCCTGCAGTCGTACTTTAGGTATACTAAATTGGTATACTTAAAGTCTGCTAAATTACAACAACTAATTTTGTACTTGATGCACTTTAGTTATCAGGAAGTAGTGCTGGTCCAACTAAAGACACTTTAAATATATTGCATTTAAATTATACAGTGATAATACTATTCTTACTAACACTGATATTAAACACATTTTAGGCTTAATATTAAGAAATGTGCATTGTGCAATAAAGTAGTACTCCAAATAAAGTTTAATTATAACATTTATATCTGTAAGTCTCAGGTGATATGTCAGTAAATATAGACTCTTTTGAGTCTTTTGCGCTTGAACAGACAAATACACACAATTATGTCAGAATGTCCGTTTCGGTGAGTATTCACTTAAACAGACGGTTATGTCTTAAGTGAACGTAAACAGTTGGGATTATATCGGATGTGTATATGTGTATTAAATTCGTGGATTCGGTCTTAAAGTGACAGAAGCCTAATAAACCTGTTGCTGTCTGTGATTAAAGGGTTAGTTCACCCAAAAATGAAAATTCTGCCATTAAGTACTCACCCCCATGTCGTTCCAAACCCACAAGACCTTCGTTCATCTTCGGAACACGAATGAAAATGTTAGTTCACCCAAAAATGAAAATTCTGTCAGTAATTACTCACCCTCATGTTGTTCCAACCCCGTAAGACTTTTGTTCATCTTCGGAACACAAATTAAGATATTTTTGATGAAATCTGAGAGCTGGCTCACTCCTTCATAGGCTGCTAGGTAATTAGCAGCCGATGTCTTTACTAACTTTTCTGGGCTGGCAGATATCAATTACCTAGCAGCCTATGAAGGAGTGAGCCAGCTCTCAGATTTCATCAAAAATATCTTAATTTGTGTTCCGAAGATGAACGAAAGTCTTACGGGGTTGGAACAACATGAGGGTGAGTAATTACTGACAGAACTTTCATTTTTGGGTGAACTAACCCTTTAAGATATTTTTGATAAAATCTGAGAGCTTTCTGTCCCTCCCATAGGCAGCAAAGCCAAAGGCCCAGAAAGGTATTAAAGACATTGGTTCAACCCTGATGTTATGGAGTGACAATAATACTTTAGGCGCAAAAACAAAACAAAAATAGCGACTTTATTCAACAATTTCTTCTCGTCTGTGTCAGACTACTACGCTTTTGATCTAGTAAGCACAGTGCAGCGCTTCTGGGTTCTACGTCAGAATAAAGTCACTATTTATGTTTAGTTTTTGCGCACAAAAAGTATTCTCGTCGTTTCATAACATTAAGGTTGAACCACTGTAGTCACATGCAGAGCCGGCTCTCCCTATAAGCGAACTAAGCGGCTGCTTAGGGCCCCACCGCCACTAGGGGGCCCCTAACTACAGATGGTAGTCGCCGGCGTCGCTGCTCAAAGTGTGGGGCGCGCCCCACTGGTGGGGAATAGAGACGTGACAGGTGGGGCGCGCCAACGGGAGGAAATTTTCCTTTTTATGCCTTTATATCTTTATTCGTTCATGGCGAGTCCGCATCGTCAACTTAATCTTTGCAACGACGCAGAAAACACCAGTTTATTAATAAACAATTAAATGTCTCCTTGCTATTTTTTACACATTCATAATCATTAGCCTACTTTTGCCGGTTCGTGCGCTTGAGTGCGGCTTTATAACACTCATTATCCTGTCTAGCCTATTTAAGTTATTAAATCAATATATAGGGGCGATTGTCCACTAATGGCTTAAATAAACAACTACTAGTCGACTAGAAAAGAACTTTAGTCGGAGGCAGCCCCTATTCCACATATTTTCGAACCAGCAGGGTTGAGCGCGCGACCCTGAGCGCCGGAATGAGCGAGCCGAGGAATATTCAGAAATGCGCTCTCTGCTCACATGCTCTGATCGGAACAAAGGAATATTAAAATAATTAATCATTAGTTTATATCTCATACACTGCCCATCATTTTAATCCCATATCAAACACAGTAGCCTATGTTATGTCTATTTTAAATTTTTTAAATAGACCTGTCTTGCCAAATGGATTTCTCTTCATTTCTTTTTTTAACAGATTGCAAAGTGGCACTTTTATTTATTTTCTATTTTTGAACTTGATACACATTTTGACACAGCTGCACTTTTATTTTCTCTATTTTTGAATTCCATGCAAGTTATGACACAGCTGCACTTTTATTTTCTTTATTTTTGAACTTTCTGTTATGTTATTTGATGTAGATAGTTAGTTTGTATTTAGATACTACTTGTTACTTCAATAAATTGGAACATTTTAAGCTTGTTGCGTATTTCATTGGCACTGTGTTGGGGCGATGGGGGCAGTGGGGCTTGAAAATTCCCCCTTGTCCAAAGTGGGGAATGACCGAAAAAGTTTGAGAACCACTGCGTTAAGTCAACCAACCATGTCAGATCGTTGTCTTCCCTGGACTTGGAAATTTGACCGCAAAAATGAAACGAGTCTATCCATCGGGTGCAGAAAAAAGAAGAATATGTTTAAATCACTTTAGAAGGAAGCAAAGAAATTACTGGTCCAACTTCTCCCTCTTTTTAAAGTGTGGAAAAGGGAAAAGTTCAAAGATCGAGACTCCAGCAACACCTGTAGCCTATATGCAACAACTTTATTGAAGATTTGTTAGATTGGGGTTAGATTGTATTTGCTGGTTTGCGGTGGCAATACTCCATTATTTACTGCAAGGCAGGGCCCCAAAATTTTCCTGCTTAGGGCCCCCAGATTTACAGAGCCGGCCCTGGTCACATGGACTATTTTAACAATGTCTTTACTACCTTTCTGGGCCTTGAAAGTTGCAATGACGTTTCTGCCTATGGGAGGGACTCAGATTTCATCAAAAATATCTTCATTTGTGTTCCGAGGATGAACAAAAGTCTTACAGGTCTGGCACCACATGAGGTTTAGTAATTAATGACAGATTTTTCATTTTTGGGCGAACTGACCCTTTAATTTTAATCAAACAAAAAAAGAAAAATCACTCAATGTTCATGACTGAATAACTTTAATAGCTTTGATAAGGATTAATCTACATTTAATTTATACAGATAAATATGCTTGCTAACATAAGAAACCTACAATCTCCACTTTCACAAAGAATAGCCACGTGACCTATGGGAATAATTATCATCAGCTTATTGTTGCTAGCCATTTCTGATAGTTCACACAAAAACAAAAAATGCTTTCATTATTTACTCCCATGTTGTAAAACCTGTATGATTTACTTTCTTCTGCATAGAATAAAACAAGATATTTGAAGAATTTTGGAATATTTCATATTTTAATTTGGCATTTTTATATTCTTCATTTTATTTTTATTTTACTTTAAGTTGTATTAATTCTGTTATGTGCTTTTTCATTTTATTAGTTTTTATATATATATTTTTATATTGCTTGCAACCATTTTTATTTCATTATTTTTTCAATTATTTCAACTTTAACAAACTTATTTCACTTGAACTTTAACAAACTTATTTAACTTAAACTTATTTAAACTTGTTTGTTGCCAAGGCAACATTTGTCATTTTAATTAACATTTCAAAAAAAATTTCCCCTCATTATTTATATTTAATTTTATATCAGCTTCATTTCAAATGACCAAATAATAATAATAATAATAGTTTTAGTTAACAATAACAACACTGCTCCAAATTTCTTCTTTTATGTTCCACAGAAGAAGAAAACACTCATCCAGGTTTGGAATGACATGAAGGTGAGTAAATGATGACATCATTTTTGATTTTTTTTTTTTTACATTTTTAAGTGATTTGCAGTGGTGTTTTATTTCACCAGCTTATTTTTAAAATATCCAAGATACATATCCATTTCGTTTGAACACTACATGACTGATATAGAAGACAGAGTCCTCTCCTGCTGTTTCAGGCTGGCCAGTATTCCAGCTCTAAGCTTTTGCCAAATATTAACAGTCCTGCGGTGCTTACTGAAACAAATCTGCTGGACAGAGAATGAGAGAGAGAAAGGGAGAGGCTGGGGCAACCTATCTATCAGAACTCTCAGACCTGTCTCGAAACCATAGAGCGGTGCTGGCTCTGGAGCAAATGTCCAGAGAGCAGGGACAGTTTCATCCAGCCGGCCCAGCAAAGTGACAAATGACAGTCACCATGCGCACATCCTGGAAACTGATTGTGATGGCGGAGCACAAAGGAAGGGAGCGGATTCCAGCTCGGCAGTGGAGGACGCTCAGTATCCAGTCATTAGTGCTGGCAGACCCCCGTGCAGCCACACACCCCACCATACCCTGATTACTGTCCTTCACGCTCAGATTGAGAGCCAGGCACAAGGTGGGTCTGAGGAAGACTATGACCTATCTATACAAAAGTCGGTTTCATTTGAAGAAAGAGAAAGAACTTTGATGTTATCTGCACTAAAAAAAGCTAGTCATCCATTTAATTTTGAAATATGGCATGGTCTTACAAAAATTATGAAATCAGCTCATCTTCCAGTGATTTTCTAAGCTAAGACCATTTTTGTAACCTCTGTCCTATATACAGTAAATGGCCAAATGCAGAATGACTGCAGTAAGCATCCTGTGCCACAGGGTGGTACACTCTACAATACTACACTCTACTTCCAATAAAAGAAAATATCACATAGGTTTAACTATTACAAAAACACCCCCAGAGCAGACAAAAATGTGTAGTGAATGAGAGTAAAATAAATGGAAATTAATATAAAATAAAATAACATAACATAAAAAAAATATAATAATATAATAATATTTTATAATTAAAACTAAATAAAAAAACCTATAAATTATAAAACTAGACTTTTTGGAAGAAGGTTTTTAGTGTGTTTTAGTGTTGTTGTTGTTGTTTCTACTATTCTACTGTAACTATAGTAATTGCAAACACAACTACAGAAATTAGAGTCAACCTCATCTAAAAATGCAACACCACCCTTAAGATCATGTCATCTGGGTCAAACCCTATGTGTTTGAGCGCGCACACATGATCCATTCTGACTATATCAGTTTCCAAATCAAATGTGAGGTTTTAACAAGCTGAGAAGTGTATAAAAAATCTCATACTATGAGAGAGAGTGTGAAGAGGAGGTGGTATCTATCAGTATGGCCACTCTTGGGTGGGTGGAATGTGTATAAATTATGATATCTCGTCTTGAGCAGCTCTTAGCATCCAATTCACCCTTCTAGCACAGCAGTGTTATGTAAGAATTCGCTATATCGCAGCACATATGAGACTGATTACTGTAATCTCTGACATGGGTAGCAGTTTTTTCAAAACTCAGCACTGTAAAGAGCGAATTAAATGAGTTTTTTCTGCAAACGCCGATGTTACAGGCCTTTAGCCCTGTGATAGGAGGGCCGGTCTGAGATGGAAACGGCAGTGATAGCTTGATGGCGGGTCATTAAAAGATAGCAGGCTGTTGTAGAGCTCACTGCGAAAAAGAGGTTCTGTTGTCTGCTGTTTGTTCAGCATGAATTAATGAAGGATCACGCCAGCAGCCGCACAACAGAGTAATTGCCTATTTCCAGCTAAATTAAAGATCAGTCCATTTACTGATAATGTTATCCAGACCTGACAACTGAGGAATGTGGAAATGAACAGCTGATCGAAGAGAATGACATCTAACTTCTACAAACTTAGAACTTAGAAGTTGAGTCTCATTAAATCAACTTGGATCATATTCCACCCCAAAATCAAAAGAAAGAAATTATACTTAGCTGAAAAGAAACATTAGTTTAAAACTACTAAGATTGTTTGCATTTTTTTACATCTACAAGACAACAAAGAAGATTTTCTCATTATTATTATGCATATATGTGTTTTTGTTTTATTTTATTATGCATATGTTTTTATCACAGTCATAGTTTTACTTTTGATGAAAATGTTGAATTTAGTTTTTAATTTCGATGTAATTTATTTTCTTTAAAGGTAATCATTTTCATTAGAGTTTAATAATAAAATTAAAATGGTTTACAGTCTTTGTTATCATTGACAAAGTTAATAAACCTTTCAACAGTTAAAACTTTCATCAGTAATTTAGTTAAAAAGTTTAACACTGCATTACTGTTATGTACTGTTATGTATGTACTGTATGTATAAAGTAGTCAACATTTGAAGTGGATCAAAAAAGACAAGAACGGGTATTGTTCAAAATTCATGTATAACTTTGATGAAAGGTTTTGATCCACTTCAAATGTTGACTACTGTGTATACATATCTTTATCATTTAAAACCCAATGGTCCTACAAACAGGATTCATTATCTTTAAGCAAAATATAACTTTTTGTGAGATTCAGCTTGTGGGAACATTTTAATTTTGCATTGACAGATGTCTTCATGCCCAATTGTTCACTAGAATCTCTTTGGGGTTCACTTTTTCAGCATGATACATATCATTATGCAAAGTCTCATCTCATCCAATCACCTTAGCTTCTTCTCTGGCCTCTAGAACCTTAATCAAATGATTCACCACAATTGAAAAGTCAAATTAAATACGCCTGAAACAATTTCGCGTCGGGGGCAAGAAACATATAACTCCAGCGAATTTCATTAGAGAAACACACCACGGGTTATGATGTCTGCTCTATCCTTTTCACAAGATAAGCTGTACTGAATCTATTATTCTGCTCGGACGGTCTATTCAAACGTGTTCCCTCTCAGCCCAGACAAGGACATGGTGATATGATGCATGTAGATGAAAGAGCGGGAAGGGGTTTGTCCAGACCACCTACCTCTTTCAGGCAACCCATAAAATTGTTGCTGACAGGCGACCCAGGTAAGTCCGCTGTGCTTGGACTTCCTCCAACGTAGAAGAAATCGTCCGATCCCAGCATGGTGTAGTCCTCCTGCGTGTAGCCTGTTGTGGTCAAGATGCCATCCACAGATATCGTCACCTGATTGAAAGGAACAACAAAAGGGGAGGACAAAATTCCATTCATGAACATCATGGCTGTGACGGCCATTCTACCAAGGAATAGGTTTGCTTCGGTCTTGCTGGTTGCTGTTTGTCTTTGATTGTGCACCAAACACCTGCACGTCAAGATTTGAGTAGGCCGTTCTTGTCTAGTATTCGTAGACATACAAAGGACAGGTAAAGAAAATATTTTGTTGGAATATTTTCTTTATCTTTGATGGTGTTAGAAATGGTTTTCTGGTTTGGGACATTAGTTTGAGAGGTTAGTGTTATGTAACAAACTACAGACAAATTGCTTGTGCTTGTTTTTAGGTTCAAATTCTGTGCACACTGGGTTAGTTGACACTTACATATATGCAATGCTTCAAAAATGAGCTAATACTACCACAAATGAGCATGCAACACAGAGGTCAGATGGTCTTTTACTAATAAAATGTGAGTAGTGAGGTATACAACCACTGCAAACATTAAAGCATGCATATTTTTCAAGCCGAGACGACATGCAAAGGGAAGCAGCACATATGAGACCAAAGCAAAAGCAATGAGGGGTAATGAGGGAGGACGCAGGAAGTCATGACCTTCAACACAATACAGACAGGACAGGACACTGGGCAGATGGTGGGTCGCTCATACAAGGATTGTGGTGTTAGTAACACAAGGACTGATCCAGCATGAACGGGTCGGCGTGGCATGCGCAAACAAGTGAAATCAACTGTCAGAGCTCCAGTGCTGAAGTAGCTTTTTATTATTTTGTTTTTATGCTGTTTTTTCATCACTTTTTTATTTAGGAAAGCTTCTGCCAGTTTTTTTTATAGTATTTGATAAAAAAAAAAAAGCGCTTTAGAAAAAAAAAAAGCGTCCAAAAACTTAACAAAAAGGGTCGTAGACGTAGTTCAAAGAAAGAAAGATGGAAAATGACAGTAAAGCTGTGGTGAAAAATGGGATGAGGACATTTGAAATAAAAAAGAAGGAAATCCCCGAAATACAAACCCCAGTCTGTTTGTTTTATTTATGATGCCATGAAACCCCAAAAAAGAGAAAGAGGGCCAAGGAAACACACGGTAAACCCAAAAAAAAGGACAATGAGAATGATATCTACCAGACAATGTAGTTTGTTTACCATAGCGTGTCCAATACCTGAATGCTTTGAGAAAAGGGGAAGAAAGGAAATTATACAATGTAAAAAAGGGTTGTTAATAAAATGAAACTCGAATGAAGTCATGATGAGTAGCACATTAGTGTAGGTTCTGGTTAGTAAATTAAAGAATCTAGTCAATGGTTCATGAGTGGTTAGTCTGGGTTCTGAACAAATGTTATCCATAGACAAATAAAGTATATGAGTGAGAGTAAGAAGGTGGAAAAGAAAAAGAAATATAACGGATTCTCCAGAGTTTGTGGCATATCACTTTTTTTTTTTTTAATTGCACTTACTTAATCTTAATGCACATACTCACTGAAGCAGATACTTAAAAAGCCATTTAGAATACAGTATTTTTCAGCAATAATGTAATGAAATTTTTAGGCTGCTTAATGTTTCATAACATGATGTTTTCTGCTATAACCGTGAATAGTGACCTCTATCTAGCTGGCTCTTTGTTGTGATTCATATGGTTTTTGACTTTCCGCAGGCAATTGTATAAGGTAATTCTAATGCATGTTCTTGGCGTGATAGTAAAACAGCTATTAAACAAAGCAAAGCAAAAAAAATGTCACAGTCCTTGTGGATCAGAGCTGAAATAGCTTGTGCTTGTGGGCACTCACGCCTCCACATGCCCACGCAAAAAGTGACATCCTTTCACTCCTGAGGGGCAAAACCACCCTAAATATTTACATATTTTAAAATGCAGCGCCGGAGTGATTTAACAGTTCACAAAGATTGGCTGTGGGTAAATGGAACGGTTGAGGTTGGTTGGAGCCTCTCCCCGCTGCCCTGATAAGACAGAGTATTTGAAGAAGTGAGGTGAATATCTAGAGGGGTGAGAGAGACAGCCTCTTAAAGCCATCACACCGCTGATAGCTTCAGACAGAGGAAGCAAAATACGAGGCAAGGTAGAAGAACTCAGAGAAGAAATAGTTGCATTAGCATCTCGAAGAAATTAAAGTAACCAAAAGTGCTAACTCAAACATATACAGTATAGCATTTAACTCTGAATTGGATTTTAGCATAAACTGTCTGAGGTTTTAGCATTACCTGTCTGAGGTTGCGTGTGACTTTCACGTCATGCCAGGCATTGTCGTTGAATTTGCCATTGACAGGCTCGACAATGGCCTCGAAAGCTCCCGAACCCAAGTTGATGACCAACGATACGGCTCCGTCTTTCAGGGCCAGGTTGACGTAGTCTGCGGACTTGCCGGTGTGGAGGATAAGGCCATTTCTTTGCCAGGTCTTGAAGGACAACGTGATCTCGTCACTGCTACTCTGGATGGGGTTCTGAGACAAATCGTAGCAGAAGTACTCGGAACCTCGGAAAGTGGCCACGTTCTCTTCTCGCGCTAAAAGAGAGGAAATAAATGGTGTTAGAGCTTCTTGAAACAAAACAAACCCAAAGATATGAGCTATGGAAGTTTTCCAAGATTGACCACTGAAGAAGAGCAATTAAGTTCAGGCCAGATGAAACAAAATGATGCATAGCAAAATAAGGCAAGTGTGGGCAGCAGAAAACACAAAAAGGCAGTGTATTTAAAGCCATAAATCTGATGAGATCATCAGTGACATTATTTCTCTCGTTGAAGTATATGTGCACTAATGTTCAGTGTTTGTGTAGCACATCTGAATCATAATTACGAAAGCTGTAGTGTCCTCCCATCCATCAAAATCAACGCCTCAAACTATGACAATATCCCTGATCGACAAGATCCTCCTTAGATTAAACAGAAGCTGCATCTGAAGTGACATTTAGACTTTTAAACACAGATCACCATTATTATCATACAGAGTGCATATCGCACACCCCTATTTTAAAATAAAACAATGAAATGCAACATTAAGCATGGTGTTTCCTAATAACATTCTTTAAAGTCAACATTATAATGGGAGGTTAGCCATTTTATCAGTTAGCAGTTTTATTCAACAAGAAAAAATATAGGGCGCGACTTGAATTTATTTATGATTTGATAGGATAGAGAAAAATGGTCTCTTTATTGCAGGTGGTTAAAGGGGAAGAGCTGAAAAATAAGTGACATCATCAGCTAAACAGTCATTTCAGAGGTGGAAGATGAAAGATTACGGGTACAAACGTCTTTAATATGTTCTGAATTACGTGTTAAAAAAGTAAAAGAGGAATTTTGATATCAAGTTGACTTGAAATGAAGTTTTAGTGATTGCATGCTAAGTTCACATTGGTCATTGGAATTCAGAGCAGATAATCTACTGCATCCACATTTATGGAAATCAATTCACTCCTAGTCCCTGTGGTCCCCTAGTCCATTAATCACCAAGCTATGGTGTCGTGGCTTAGAGCAGGCAAAAATACACATATCTAATGGAAAGTTCCCCCAAACCAACACTGGACATCATTTACATCAGGCAGCCAGAAAAGGACCTCAGCGCTAATGACATCATTGATTTATCAGTGCTTCACTTGGGCCGCCGTGGAGTCGATATATTCTCTGGCTAAATGTTGACAAAACACTCACACATCCAAGTCTATGCTCCACCTCAGCGATCAGCATTAGTGGATGTAGTATGTGTTTTAACTGACCGGGTAAAGACATCTTGACCTGTTTTGGACTGGACCTAAGGGAGCATGAGCGGACTGCAGGGTTGCTGAGCAGGGTTTTCTCATCATGGCTGGTGCTGGTGCCCAGCAGTGATACACTTCACATGTTAATAAGCTCATGGTTAAGAATGGGGCAAACTGACTGACGGTGGAACATATTAAAAGCACATGGGACCCTGATGCAGCTGGTGAACACCAAAAAACAGCCCTTCTGTGCAGTCAGAGAGATGATTCAGATTATATCGCTCATTACAAGGCTGAAAGAAACAGATTAATGGAAGATGACTGAATGGATAGTGGGAAAGAGTTTTGTCCAGCTGCAGGAGAGGGTGGTGCCTCGTCTATGTGTCAAAAACTGTCAGTTAGACTTACTTGGATACTCATTGAGTAAATCGCACACTGCTGAAGAGATTCTCAAGTCCATTAATATTTGGCTAGGCTGTAACAAAAAGAGCTTAATATTTAGCCTGTGGAGATTACTGGACTGTGCCAAACAGGCTCAAGGAGTTTCTCTAGAACAAATATACACAATATATAAATGTTATATAGATGTAATATAAATAACTTTTAATAGCAATTATTTTTTATAATAATGTATTATATTAATATAAATAATAGGCTATATAATGTATTATGTAAAAAATAAAGTATGTTATTCACATATTGTAGGGTTACAAATTTATTTAAATGTTTAATTTAGGTTCCAATACAATAGTATTTTAACTGAGAAAGTTCTGCACACTGTTTTCCATTTTGAGGCAATCAAGGTTTCGGACTTTAACCTCAAAGGTCAGCTGGGCCTTTTGTTGATCTAATCAGGCTGATTGGATTAGCATCTCAAGGCTCTGAGTTACAGTAGCTGCGTTTACATGGACCCTTATAATCGGATTGACGGCTCAATCGGACTAAAAAACCTTCATGTAAACACCTTAATCGATCCGATTGAGCTCGATCCGATTGAAATTTCGATCGGATTGAAAGGGGTGGTTTAATCCTTTTGTAATCCGATCGAGAGAACATATAAACACTTGATCGGATTGAAAACCGAAACTCAAAAGGACTGAGCATGTGCAATGACGTTGAAATTGCGTAATGACGTATGACGCACGGAACGAGCTGTTCTTCCTGTTGAATAAAGTGAATATAAATGAGTGTTCCGTTATTAAAAAATTCTCATTTCACTCAGCGTCTGTGAAGTGAAGCAGGACAGCGTCCCACCAGTGCTTGTTTCAGATTATCATCCATGGACGACTGGTTTTGGGCGCAGGGTTTTACTGCGTGATCAACAAGCAGCACGGCAAAACGGTTCATGCTCATCGTCTCCAAATCATGACCAGAGAAGGATAAATATTAAGTCTGCTGTTTAAAAAAAATAAAGAACCAATAGAGGAGAATAGTTATTCGCGAACAGCGGCATATTCGTGCAGTAGTGTGCGCATGTCAAAAAATCAATTCCGATTTGAATCTTGTGACATATAAATGCGCACATCAACCCCATTACTTTATTTATCGTTCATGTAAACACCGCGTTCGGATTTATCAATCGGATTGATTTCATTCCGATTGAACCATGTAAACGCAGCTAGTGTTACCTGATGAAATCAGGTAACTAGCTGAATCAACATGCTTTGTTTCAGAGTGTCTCCACCTCTATGTAACCCCTCCCCCTTGAAAGGTATATCAACTACAATGTATATGCCTTAGTTAGACTTAGCTAAGATTTTTGGACGAAGCAAACTACAGCAATGCAACAGCAATAAAGAATCCTGCTTAAAAAGATACAACCGAGTCTCCTGGTCTTCGCTTCTGAGTTTTCAAACACTTTAGAAGAAATAAGTTCACAACAATATATATATATATATATATATAATTTATGCTTGTTTAAATTAAGTATATCAATGTGTGTATGCATACATGATATTATGAATTAAAATACACAATTAAAATATGCATGTTATATTTTAAACATACATATGATATAATACACACACACACATATATATGCATATATATTAGGTGGTATCATCTTCAAATCATGTTTAAAGTGCATGGATCTTACTGCAGCTCTGTTTAAGATATATATCAAATAAAGTTAATATTTCACCTGCATCGCTGTGTCTTACTGCAAACACCTGCACATAACTGCTAAATCTCAACATCGTAAGTAAGCAACTTAGATCACCTGCTCGAAACAGAAAGCAAAAGGTTCCAGTCTGCTGAACAGGGCTCAGTGTTTTCCTAGTAGCACATGGGTGTTATTGTGCGCTACATGCTGGCATAGAAGCCTGGTGCCAACACCTCAACAGATGCATTATTACTCCCCAGAGCATGGCTACCGTTAGCAGCGTGATTCTGAGAGAGCGGGCCCTCATTTAGCTCCTCGACACCTTATCTGCTTCCTCCTGACTGACTCAAGCGGTAACCGCATCCCTGAGGTCCTGCCATGCCATTAAAGTTCCAGGAGAGAGTACTGATAAATTATTAATTAAACAGAGTGTTGTTTTTACTAAAGACACCGCTCCACATTACTGCCAGATGTTCCCCCGTACAATCATCTTAAGATCTAAATACTTCATAAGAGTTGCTGATATGATGTGGAATCGTACAGTGAGTGGAACGGAAGATTTGAAGGATACATGAGGGTCAGTAAGGGAGACATTAGGGCTGTGAATCAATTTAATATATATTAATGTTTTTATATATAAAGTAACCAAAAGTGCTAAACTTGTTTTTTATCTTATGCTCACCATGGCTGCATTTATTTTATCAAAAATCCGGTAAAGCCTGTAATATTGTTAAATATTGTTACAATTTAAATAATTGTTTTCTTTTTTAATATATTTTAAAATGTCATATATTCATGCGATGGGAAAGCAATTTTTTAGCAGCCATTACAGCCATTGTGTCACACGATCCTTCAGAAGTCATTCTAAAATTCTGATTTGGTGCTCAGGAAACATTTCTTCTTATTAACAATGTTGAAATGCTGCCTAATATATTTTTTTTTGCAGACTATAACCTTACTACACATTAAGGGTTAAAGGGCATTAGCCAGTTTTTTGTTTATCATAAAAGATGATAAATCTTATAACTAGTGGCTGCATTATTGGCATTAATTATTTTGTACATGTCAACCAGTCCATATAACATTTTTTTTTACAAGGACGACCAGAAGTGACAGAATGAGAAAAATCTCATTGCTATTTGGCAAACAGAATAAAGTGATTTGTTTCCACAAGCTACAGTGCTTAGCATGAGTGAACACACCCATGCTAAAGTTGACTAAAAAGAGGAATAGAAAATCATCTTTTGGAAATTGATCTTAATGCCTTAATTCAAAAAATGAGGAAAAATCCAACCTTTAAGGACACCAATTTTCTTTGTGAATGAATAATGTATCGTAAATAAAAATCTTCCTTAAAAAAGGGTGCATAAGTCAGCACATCCCTATGTTAAATTTCCATAGAGGCAGGCAGATTTTTATTTTTAAAGGCCAGTAAAGTTCCTTTGGCCTTTGGAATTAAAATAGCCCCACATCATCACATACCCTTCACTATACCAAGAGATTGGAATGGGGTACTTTCCGTAAGTGTTTCAGTTCCTAACTGAAATAAAACCATGCCAATCTCTAGGTATGGGGAAGCGTATGTGATGATATATTTTCCCATCCAAAATAAAAATATGCCTGCCTCTATGGGAATTTAACATAGGGGTGTCTGACTTATGCCCCCCGTATTTTAAGGAAGCACAATTATTTTTTTACGATAAATTATT